GATAGCAGCATCTTCCTTGTTTGTTTGCAGTGGGGTTTTAGACAGAAGACAATGAAGACATCTACTGATAATTCTTAAACTAGAGGTTTAAGGATATTTCTCAGATTAGTTGTTATTTGTTGATAGTTATTTACTGTTATTTTTTTTTTTTTTTGCAGTGCTGAGAATAAAACCCATATGGGTTGCATATGCTAGGGAAATGTTTGCCACTGAACTATTCCAAACTTTGGAATAGTTCTATCTGGATTTTATTGTTTAGTTTATGTGCTTCTATATAAAAATTAAAATTTTCATAATTTTGAGTGATATTTTGCATGTGTTTGATCTTTCCATTCAGTTTGGAGCCTGGTAATTTTTTGCTCCTCCCCCCATTTTAAACTTGTATTAATGTAAAGTATGATATTTCCAAACTGTTTATTAAATTGAATCAGAGATTCAGAGACTTTTCCAAAATACCCTCCCTTCTATTACAGCTTAACATTTATTTATGCTGTAGCTTGTTAAAGTTCTTACAAAAGACAATGTGTATTTTTTGTTCTAATTAGTGGAATTGTTTTAAGAAATATCACCAAGATAAACTCAGTCACATTTTTTTACTAACATTTTTGGGATGGTATGAAAAGAATTACTATTTAAGATTTTGGACAATGAAGTTATAGTAATCAATAACTTTGATAATATTTATTTTTATTCTCAGAGACAAGTGGGATCTATTTTATGATGTGTCCAATATCTTTCTATACTAAAATAATTTTCCATGCTCAAAAGTTAAAATGAAATACAAGATTTCTATTGGAAAAATCCTGAAAGAAAGTGAAGATAAAATGTAAATAAACCTCCTGTTTAAAAATTTTAGTCAAAATGATAACATTTTAATGACCTTTCCCAGACCTTCTGAGAAATAAGATAACTAATAACACATTATTCTGGAGTTTCAGTCTGTTTTTTGGCTTGTGAGTACAAAAGCATAGCGATCCTTTTAGTTAATTGTGGTTTGTGGGTGTAATTAAACATAAAGTGACAAAAGATGTGTAGGCATCTATTATGCCAATATTATGATTTTGTTATCCCTCTTACATATTTATCAGGATTTTTGTATATTTTGTCAAAAAACACTTGAAAGGATTAGGTAACACATTCCATTTTTTAATCAGTAGATTGTATTACAATTTATTCTGAAAGTCTCAACTTATTATTTGCATTATTTTAGTAAAGAAAGAGAAGAGATGGTTGAATTGCAGAGCATAAATACTACACACACATTGTTAATTATCAGGGTTTTCTTATTAAGTATGTCTGATGAAGCCTGACTCCATTTCAGAAAGACAGCCAAAAAGAAAGAGGGAAAAGTGGTAGCTCACCAATGGATGTGTACCTTAATTGTGATTTTTTTCACAATGTATATGTTAATTAAATCATCAGCACGTATGCCTTAATATTCAATCTATTGTTTTTGTGCTGGTTCTGAGGCTTGAACTCAGGGCCTAGGTGGTTCTGTCCCTGAACCATTTTGTTCTACCAGTTGAGCCTCAACCCCAATTCTGACTTATTTTTTAGTGGTTAATTGTAGATAAGGGTCTTGGGGACTTGTCTACCTTGGCTGGCTTTGAGCTTCACCTATCTGCCTCCTGAGTAGCTAGGGTTACAATCATGAACATATAATGAAGCACCTACCTATATATATGCAATCTTGATTTGTCAAATGTACTTCAATTAAAAATTCTCCTAAAATGCGGGCTGGGAAGGTGGCTCAGTGGTAGAGCGCTTGCCTTGCATGCCTGAGGCCCTGGGTTCGATTCCTCAGCACCACATAAGAAAAAAAAAGCTGGAATGGCGCTGTGGCTCAAGTGGTAGAGCACTAGCCTTGAGCTGAAGAGCTGAGGGACAGCGCCCAGGCCCAGAGTTCAGACCCCACCACCAGATCAAAAAAAAAAAAAAAAAATCTCCTAAAATGCATCTTTAAAGGAATGAAAAATGTTAAAAGAAAAATTTTAACCTGAAATATAGATATAGATGAAAAAGAGCTTTTCTGGTTAAGAGGAAAGTCTCTTCTGTAGGAATATCAGGCAGCTGCCAGGCACCTTTGTTTCTTACTGCAAAGTTTTAAGATCATTTGTGGGCCACATTTATTTCCTCTCAAGTCTAAAATGCTATGCATAGCTGAGCATGGTGGTGCCTGTCTGTAATTCTTGCACACAGGAGTCTGAAGATCATGAGTTTAGACCAGCCTGATCTACATAGTGAGATTCTGTCTCATAAAATAAAAATAGAAATACAATAAAATGGGCTGGGAAGGTGGTTCAGTGGTAGAGTGCTTGCCTTGTATGCATGAGGCCTTGAGTTCAATTCCTCAGCACCACATAAGAAAAAGCCGGAAGTGGCACTGTGGCTCAAGTGGTAGAGCACTAGCCTTGAGCTGAAGAGCTGAGGAACAGTGCCCAGGCCAGAGTTCAAGGGACAAGACCAACAAAAAAACAAAACAAAACAAAAAAACCGAAAACAACAACATCAAAACAATAAAATAATATATGTGATTACTAAAGAAGTATATCTGCCTCAGGGACAGGAGTTAGGTCCACATTATTTCTATTGCTCTAACTTTATGCATATATTTCTTAATGGAAAGTCTGTTGGAATATACATTAGAATTAAGCATTTCCCCCCCTACTGTTAGGAATAGAAACTCTTGCTGTTTAGCTTACATTAAATGCAACTTGAAATATCTACTTCTTAAAAATTCTTTTTTTTTTTTTAATTTTATTTTATTTTATTTGAGAACATACTGTACAGAGGGGTTACAATTACATGGTCAGGATAATGCGTACATTTCTTACCAAGCATTGCAGCCTCCTCCTTTGTTTACCCTTCACCTCCCTTCCCAGCCTCCCCCCTCCCCCCCACCCAATCATACCCCCCCACCCCCCCTCCGACATTGTAAAGCTGGTTTTGACATGACATTTTGTACTTCTCATTGTTGCAACAGGTCCACCTGAATCCTTAAACGGCTTGTTTAAAATTCTTATAACTTTTCTGTTCAAGTAAGTTTTTTTTCAACAAGTAAGGTAGAGGATAGAAATCAATCTCTGAAAGAAGAGCAAGTCACAGATGAATTCTCTGATAAATGCTTTAATATATTTCTTCCTTTATCCAAAATGCTGCTTACTTTCTTTACATTTCCTTGCCTGGTATGTAACCAAGATTTTCTGATTGTTCTGGGCATCTTGTAAAAATCTGCTTTTCCTCTTTCTCTCCCTGATGCTAATGATGTCTTATGATTTCACATTTTTCTTATTGATGTATTTTGGAACAAAGAGATGAGTTTCAGTGACCAGTTGCATGAACCTTGGAAAGCAGTTAATGTGGGCATCCCATTGAGATTGCAGGATTTAGTTCTCATAGAGAAATGATGTGTGTACCAGAGATGGTAGAGCTTTTATACTATCTGGAGTAGTGCACTCCTAAATGAATGGCACACTATGTGTGCTCATCTGGGATCTGTTGATATCTTATATGCCATTTCTATAGAGAAGTGAGTTCTGTCTTTCACACCACCAGTACATAGACACATACCACTTATATTTAGGTAATGAACGTACTACTTACTTATTGAAAGGTGCCAATATCCAATACTTCTGACTTCCCAAGAAAGTATCAATTCTTTTTCCTTTTCCAAGGAAAGTAGCTTTAGCCTGAGGTATTGGAATCTTCCAGGTCAACAGTTTATGTTTTAGTTTTTTCGATATAGAAGGAACTAGATGCAATAAAACCGATAGGTGACTCTAAGATCACATTAGGATTTGTGAAATGGAAAATTGCCTTACATAAATACCAAGTACAAAATAAAAAAAAAATCATGCCAGTCCTTCATAAAATTTTTATTCTGGGTGTGCTTGTTTTCCCAAACTACCTCTACTAAATCTCCTGTCAGTGCTGAAACTAGAAGGCAGAAAAGCTCCTAAGGCTTCAGCCAACTGCAGTGTAGCCAGAGAAACAGGCAACAAAAATAGAACACCAGGATTGCTGTGCGTGGGCGAGGCAGAAACCACATTATGAGCAAAAGCTTCCAGTATTATTTTAGAACCAATACAGAGCTCTGCACTTCTCTCCTCTCCCTTCCAAAAACACATACTACAAAAATAAAATGAAACGAAATGTATGTGCATTTGCCCTCTTAAGAGTTCTGATTCTTAATTGAATTTTTTCCCCCTCTCCTTTCCTTTGGAAGCGAATTGCCAGTATAGAAACAGTGTTGTAAAACCAAGCTTAGGGAGGAAAGAGTTAATTGCTTTTAAGGCCCTGCAATAGAGAATTATGGTTTGAAAGATAGAGGCTGGACAGCTGGGTTTGCTGGGGTATTTTTAAATGCATTAATGCAGGCTCCAATCACTCGGCCAAGCTTGACCTATTTTTGGCTCAGGCCGACCATTGTTCTATTTCTGTGCCTGTGGGCCAAGCTGTTGTTGATTCATATGCAAATGGATTATCTCTAGCTTTAGCCAACTTGAGCTGAGAGAGACTGAGAAAGGGAAGAGAGAGAGACACAAACAGAGAGAAGAAGGGCAGGAAACCCTAGCAGCCCTCAAAACTATAAGCCAGGTTTAATTCCTTTCTTTTTCTTCTTGGTACAGTTAGTATTTTTCTAGTTCTTCTGACCAAGAAATAACCCCAAAGCACATTCCTGGTCCACACCTGCTTTTAGTTTCCAGGATAACCTGGGACTCCAGAGAGCTATTGCAGCCACTCTGTCCTTCCCGCTTTGGCACACAGGTTGGTAATTGTGGGGGAAAGTGGCCTGGCCAGGGTCTTAGGGAAAGTGTTATGTCCATTGAGCGGAAAGGAAATCATTGTTGAAGTTGATCTTCTGTTGCTTCTCCTCAGGGAGGAGGGAAGACCAGGCAGGGTAGCTCCTGGGGCCAGTGATGAATCTTTCATGTAGCTGAACTAACAGTGGTGGAATATGCTGCAGACAATTTACGAGAGTGCCTCCTGTTTCTCCTCAGATGGGGTGGCTGCGCGGGAGCAACTCCTGGCTCAGCAAAGAATGCACAGTAGGATCAGCTCAGGTAAGATCCTTTGACGCCACCGAGATGGTTTCTGTTTGAAAGGGGGCTGGTTGGGAAAGGCAGCTGAGAAAAGCACTTCTTTTCAAAGGAACTGCGGCTGCCTTTTGGCTTGATGTGGATGTTTTCACAGTGTCGCTGTGAGGTTTAACTTAGATCCGTTCCATTACTGTTTCTCTGCGTATTCCCAGTTTGCTTAGGGGACGGCTGCTTCTGAATGAAATTGCACAAAGTATTGCTTCTGATGACAGATGAACGGAGACAAGTAAAATGTAGTTGAGGGTGTTTTGCCTTACTATGCAACTAGAAGAAAAAAAAAAGAGGGAGAGAGAAAGATACCTAGGCTGATTGTTAGCATATGCTAATAGGATCTCGAAATCAGGTAAGTTCATATTGTGGCTTCCGTTTTAAATCGCAACCTCAGCCAGCTTGATGATTTTATATTTACAGTGTGCACACAGGAGCATGTCTATTTATAGACCTACCTTCTGAAATGTGTTTGCTGCGGAGTTTTTTTTTTTAAGGTAGTTTGTATTCTGTCCCATAATGTGTCTTTTTCTCTTCAGCTGCAAATACAAGTGTTTAAAATGTCTGTTTTTAAAAAAATGTTTATTTTTCAAAAACATTCTGAGAGTCTGGCATTGTTATGCAAGATACAGGGAGTACACACACAGAAATGTGTTAGGAGCAGGTGCCCTGTTTTAAAGGATAAACTCCTAACTAGTTTCTGAGGTCCTGCTTGTCTCCCTAGGATGTGCATGCAAGGAAGCTTGTCAGTTTTATCAATTTGTACTTGTTAAGTGAGCACAACTCTTGAGGCAATATCATTTTCTTGTCATTGCTGGGTTTTTTTTGTGTGTGTCTATTTCCTGTAATTTGTTCATAAAGCTTTTGGTACTGTTTCTCTTCTTTTCTGAATACCGCAATTAAAACTGCCTTTAAAGTCTTCCCCAGAGCTCCTCAGGACCCAAACTGTGGGATCACTCTCGGTGTGCCCATGAGAAGGCAGCGGGAAGCAGCATTTATGTAGTTGATCTAGGTGTGAAGGAAATGCTCCACAGGTTGCCCTCATGTCTGCTGCTTTGGTTCTAATCTAACTGTCCCGTCTGTGGATCCTGCTTGAAACAAGATTTCAGTAAGCCTCTGTCAGTTGTGATGATTTTTAAAACCTTCTTGACGATTTGATCATTTCACAGAATCTGAATAGAATCAATATGGGGTTTATACACTTAAGTGACAGGAATTATATTAATGAGTAGTGTCTGGGTAATTATTACAGAAGGGTGTTATCATTGTGGCTGAAATCTGACCAGGTCCTGGGGACAGATCTACTGACCTGTCTTGCATGCAACTGGTCACGTACCCTTCTATTTGAATATATCTATGAATTATGATGAACTCTTTATAGACATAGCTATTTTAGCTATCACTTCAATATGATCCTACATCTGTTTAGCCTTTGCCTCTGGGTATAAGTTGAATATTTCTTTCAAACAGTAGAAACACCATCATGCCTTAGAAATGGCACCTACCTGCTGTCGCTGGGGATGGCTACAGGTGTACAAGCGCTACCATTTTTCTCCATGTATGTGATACAACTCACTCCAGTTGAGATTGTTATTTCCCTGACACTTAATGATTTGCACACAAAGCAGTCATTTTCCCACAGGGAAGCTGTCAACATGGCCCTTGCTAATATGAGTACGACAGGAAGCCATACTCAAGCTTCAACCAAACCTGAAGTGAAAAGTACTATAGAGCAACATCAATTCCTACATCTATCTGATATAAATAGCAAAACTATTAAGTTCTGCTTATTTTTGAAATTTGAAATATAAATTGCCTCCTTCTTCCTTCTTACGTTCTCTAATATTTTTATTTTGTTTCGTATAATATATCCAATACATTTAATCCACACCATCTTTCTTGGACACTTTCTGCTTTTCAAGCTTGGAGTCACGAAGAGTATTCTACAAAATATGAAGCCTAGATTCCACCCCTCAAGTTTCCATTTTAATCATCCAAGAAACATCATCAACATTGTGCTTTAGGTCTCAGCCCTCAGTAAACAGAGCCACTGTGGTGAGGTTAAAGAATGGATGATACTGGTGAGCCGTCCCTGGTAGGGTCTGCTCTTTGAATATATGGCTAAATCAGGATGGAGTTTGTCATAATTTATCTAAAAATCTTGATCAGATTTCACTAGGACCAGTGGCTTGGTTGTGATTTGTAGGCTCAGAAGTAGATGGAGTCTTTGCATGGGGAAGAGTAAAGATATGTTGCCACATGCAAAAGTAGAGGGAGGGCAGAGCAGGGCCCCAGGTTGCTGCTTTGCTTAATTTCAAAATGAAGAAAAATGATGTCCTACTGCTTATCTCTTTGCATTTCTGCCAGGTTTAAGTGTATCAGGACATCTTTAAAATGTGTATTCATTATTGCTAGTGAATGGACTTGGGAATCCTGGTTCTACCGTGCCTCTTTCTGTCTTGCTGGACAAGTCAAATGAGTTAGCGGATCAGTCACATGGGAAATGAATTTTTATTCCATAATCAGCTTTCTTGAATTAAATGTCAGCTACTTCTGTTATCTCAGTCTGATAAGAAGTTAAGACCTTTTATGTGTGTGTTTGTTTGTGTGTATGTGTGTGTGTTATGTGAAATGTTTCTTTGTGTAATAATCAAAGCTAAAGAGGTTGATGAGTATGTGATAGAACAGTGAAACTCCAATGGCAAGTTTCTAGAGATAATAATTTTGTTAAGTTGGGTTTAGTATAATTGTCATTAGCAATTGGTCTAGAGTTGCCATTTGTTTTCTGGTCATTTTTTATATTATGCATTTATGTCACTGATTTTGTTCAGAGCTTTTTTTTTCTTTTCCCCCAGTCCTGGAGTTTGAACTCAGGGCCTGGGAGCTGTCCCTGAGGATTTTTTTTTTTTTTGCTGGAGGCTACTTCTCTACCACTTTGAGCCACAGCTCCATTTCTGGCTTTTTGGAAGTTAATTGGAGATAAGTCTCATGGACTTTCCTGCCCAGCTGATTTCAAATTGTGGCCCTCAGATTCCAGCTTCCTGGATAGCTAGAGTTATAGCCACCAGTAGAGTTATAGCCACCAGGACCTGCCTCAGAGCTCTCTATATACAATTAGATTGCATGTGTTGAATGTGCTAACATGTTTTCCTAATACTGACCTAATCAGACTAGACATCTAAATCTTAGGTAGAATTAAAATGTTCTATAGATGAGTGGTTCTTTTCCCCCTTTTTTTGTATTTAAACTTTTTTTATTGTAAAGGTGATGTACAGAAGGGTTACAGTTACGTAAGTCAGATAAATAATACTTTTTTCTTTTGTCCATCTTAGGGCTTGAACTCAGGGCTTGGGTGCTGTCCTTGACCTTTTGTGCTCAAGGCTAACACTTTTGCACAGAATTAATGTCAGATATAGTTATAATGTAGAAGACTGGTATTTTCATCATGCATTCTTATTTAGAGCATAAGGGAAAAACATTTAAATGTAAATATTGATTGAGTGTGTGTGTGTGTGTGTGTGTCTGTGTGTGTGTGTGTGCACACGCGTGCGCGCACGCACCACTACTGGAGTACTGGGACTTGAATTCAGGTCTTTAAGCTGTCATTCAGCTGGTGCTCTACCTAGCTGAACTACACCTACAGTCTTGGCTTTTTGCTGGTTAAGTAGAGATAGAGTTGCAGAATTTTCTGCCTGGGCTCACTTTGAGTCTTCTGGTTTCTGCCTACAGAGTAGATAAGATTACAGGCTTCAGCCACTGGCTCACAGCTGAATCCTGAACTCTATTTAATAAAATGTATTTCACTTTAAGTTCCTCTCTGTGATTCTGGGAGAACAGAAACAGTTGGACCAGGTACTCATTTACATCTACTTGAAAAGCACAATCTAAGTGTTAATGCCAGTCTGTCAAATGCTAATGTCCTGACTGGAATCTCTTCTAGTATTCACTTTAATGTAAGTCTGTGAAATGCTAATGTCCTGATAAGAATCACTCCTATTCAGTTTAATCACCATTTGCCCTTCTCTAACTCTGGTTACCTTCACTTTCAATTTTGAAATCTGAGGAGATAGTGAATAAGTCTCCATCAAAAACTAATGGTTAGTAAGCACTGTGAGCCTGGGGACAAAAACTGAGGGCCAAGGACTCAATCAAGGTTGTCTATCATCCTAGCTACTCTAGAGGCTGAGATCTGAAGATTGCAGTTTGATGTCAGCCAAGACTGGAAAGTCCTTGAGATTCTTATCTCCAATTGAGTGACAAAAAGCCACTGTAGGAGGTGGAGCTGCGTCTCTAATGCAGGAAAGATCGAGCCTTAAGGGGGAAAAGCTAAGGAATGTTATGTAGGCCCCTGTGTTCAGGCCTCAGTACTGGCAAAAGAGAGAGCGGGAGACAGAGGGAGACAGAGAAAGAGAGACTTCACACTTCGGAGGGTTCCATAAGTGGTGGAAATTAGTTTTATGCCCATTAAGTCCATTAAGTAAGAAAATCCTATAAAATCCCGCCCCCCATGTCTGATAGACTGCACTTTAAATTATTCTGCATGGCAATTTGGAGGGGGCGCTATGAGAGATTTGAATATTCATCACATAATTTCTCACTTTGATGATATTGAATGGGTCCATAAAGATAGAAGCACTTGTCACACTCTTAAAGAATAATTGAACAACAGTGATATGACTGTGCACAAAACTGCTGAGACAAATAGACAAGGAAGAAAATGTAAGTTGAAATCTTTGATCAGAGGAGAGAAGCTTGCCTCTTAAGCTTTCTCGGGTTACTGGTAAGTTGACCACTTTCTGAGAATTTTAACATTCCCTAATCTGGAGAGAAGCGAATTGAGTGGCTATTTCTCAGCAGTTTTCATTGTTCTTGTTTTCCCTTGGTACTTGGGGAAAAGTGGAAAAGATTCTGGGAGAGATAGCCAAGGAGAGGAAGAAGGGGAACAAATATGGTCTCTGAGGAGAAATGAGCTCTTC